ATCATATTCCTGGGTGTATTACGCTTGTTGTGTGCTGGTGAGTAAGGTAAGATGGTCGGACATCATTACTGCCAGATCCTTCACACGTGTCCGGTGGGTGAGGTGACCCGCCTCTCTGTCTCTTATGTCACGTCTGAGTTTCTCGTTGTTTCCACATCTAAGTGGACCAATTTATCACTGATGAATGGCATGTTGCATTTCCTTCAGCCATTGAATGACTGTACTGATACTCACCTAATTGTGCTTGCGGGGGTTGAGCTCTGGCTCTTTGGTCCCGCCTCTCAACTGTCAATCAACAGGTGTACAGGTTCCTGAGCCTACTGGGCTCTGGGCTCTGATGTGTGTGTGTGTAGATGTCAGGTGCTACTGAGGTAATATTCGTGATGATTTTGGTGTCATGTGCAAAAGAAGACACCAAGTTGGGATGTGTATGTGGGACTATATCTTATATTGTTATTATTTCAGTGAGGAAAAGCACTGGTGCAAGAATCCTTCCTTTGCTTATACAGGTTTTCACTGTGCTCGGGTGTGGGTTTTCTTTGACTGGCTGTTTGTCAGGGAATTGATGTTCCATCGTCCCACTTTGTCTGCTGTTCGCTGGACCCTCTTGTTGATGCTCTCTCGTCCCATGGTTACGTTCATCAAATGTGCGCCTGTGATCTTGTCACAGTGAGTAACTGCGAAGGGCAGGAGCTTCCCGCTCTAAAGCTGTGTTGAACTGAGTAAGTTGTTTCACGAAACAAGAAATTTAGCTTCTAATTACGCCTCGAAAACCCTTTACAATGAGCGAGGTGAGTGCGACGACTGCTGTTTCCTCAACACTACCCAGCCTCCCTTGTGGAGCATGCATCTGTCTCCTGTTTATCCTCTGTATGGAAGCTCTGTACCCTCTGATCTCTGTATGGAAGCTCTGTACCCTCTGATCTCTGTATGGAAGCTCTGTACCCTCTGATCTCTGTATGGAAGCTCTGTACCCTCTGATCTCTGTATAGAAGCTCTGTACCCTCTGATCTCTGTATGGAAGCTCTGTACCCTCTGATCTCTGTATGGAACCTTTTCCTCAGCAATACACTGAGTGCCGTGCGACTCACACTTCACATTTCTTTATATATGTATGAGGAGTTCCATGGTATAATGTATGAGGGAAGTCAAACCATGCAACACTACATGTGTGCGAGTCAAAAACACCAACATTTCACTTATGGTAAAAGGAGAAATGCTTGGAGTGACTCTGTGCACATGCGGCTCAGGCTTGGGTACAAATATTACTGGGAATATGGGATAGGTGTTCATGATAATGACACGAAGTGTAAACTATGTGGTATGTTAAGGTCTCACGAACCCGGGTGGGGGGGAGGGGGGGGAGACCGTGAGCAGGTTGTCCAATTATTTGTCCAAGTCTGCTGTGATTTTGGTAATGTTGGTCACATTGTGTGAACTGTGTATGATAGCCACTTGGAACATTGGTGTTATCATGTTCATGTCATCTTGCAGTTTCTTGCTATCTTCCAAATTTTAATTCTCCTCGTAATTTTTGAGTCATCAGTAAACATTGAGAGGAAGGAGTCTACCACCTCTGGAAGATGATTTACATATATAAGGATCAATACGGGTTCCAATATTGACCCTTGAGTGACCTCGTTGATGACATCTCGCTACATTGAAAGTGATCTTTTCACTGTGACTCTGTCTGGCGTTGCTAATGTGCTCCCATATACACTGGGCCACTCCTCCGTCACTCCTTCCTCTATCATCTTGTTTAGTCTTCATCTTCTCAGTCTTGTATGATACCATCCTGAACCCATGCCAGAGATACCTGGAATCTTCTCGTCTCACCAGAGATTCTACCAAGCCTCTGCATCACAGTCTAGCCAACAGCCTGCATGGCATGTATGTAAGGCACACAGGCCTGGAGTGCAGTGCCTACTATCTATCCCCATCTCTTATATATTAACACTTCCCTGACTATCTTCCAACTTTCTGGAAGTTCTCCTGTATTAAATGACTTTTAATAGGATAATAAACTGATGCCACAGATGCCTGTTGACCTCCTCTCTGGTAATGTGAGGTGTGTACAGCTCTCCCGTGCTGCTTGGTGTAATACCTCACTACTGACATGAGGTAATGATCGTCTGTCAAGTTGTGGAATGGTGAGGTGGTTGAGGCACGTGACCCAGGTGATTGACACGTGTGGGAGGGACCCCCGGCGGCCAGGGACCCCCTCTTATCATCCCTGGCTGCTTCAGGGGTCATCCATTTTGAGATAAGAATATCTTTATCTATAAAATATGTCTGTGCTCACCTAATAATACTCCATAAATTATGCATGTGGTGGTTCAGCTCCGAATCTTTCCTCCCACCTGTCAACTGTCAATCAACTGTGTATGGAATCTGCCTCCACCACATCACTGTCTGAGCTCAACCACCTCATTGTAGCTGCTAAAGAAAACAGATTTTAAATTAAAGTTCTTTGGAAACCATCACATGTTGGCATCTCAGGGCATGACACTGTTAACATGCTTGCTAAGACAGCCTGTAGAAAACCAGTAGTTGAAATTGATATGGGTGTTTCATTGGCAGTGACAAAGAGAATATTTAACAAATTTCTAATGAAAATCTCACTGACCTAACAAATTCACAAAGACCTGAAAGTTATAGCATTAAATATTATGATAGATATCGTGAGGAGACATTCACATATGGGACTAATAGAACAAGAACCCGGCAATGTGATGTTATAGTGGCCAGAATACGCCTGGGATATAGACGTATCTGGCAGCTTTCTCAAAACCCAAATGTCGAGTACACAATGTGTCAACTTTGTGAAAGTGTCGAATACACCATGTGTCAACTTTATGAAAGAGAAAACATACACTCTCTTGAACATTATATTGTAGAATGTCCCATACTGACTGACTTTCGCCCTCCTGGGCTAAGGTATGCTGAACTCTGTAGTTACTATATGAGTACTGGAACACTTGATGATACATTGGACTTGTACCCAAGAGTGACCATGTAATACATTTGTTATACAATGTATTGTACCTATACAATATGTAATACATCTTTTATACATTGTATTATACCTATACAATATGTAATACATCTGTTATACAATTCATGTACCTATAACCTGAGCTTGTAAAAGCATCTTAATCACCTTCAGTGGTTAAGTGTTTAATATCACACTAGTTTCTATAGAAGCTAACTTACCCTGTCAAAGTAGGAGAGACATAATAGTATGTATATTTATGTGGATATGTGTAGGTATATGTGTGTATATATATGTATATGTGTGTACTCACCTAATTGTACTCACCTAATTGTGCTTGCGGGGGTTGAGCTCTGGCTCTTTGGTCTTACTCTTGGCTTACTTGGCTTACTTACTTACTTGGCTCTTTGTGTGTGTGTATTTGTATACAGGGTATGTGGAAGCTGGTCAGAATTGCATTTCACCTTTGTAAACGCACATTAATGACACTGTAAAAGACACATCGAGCACTTTATGTAAGACAGACGCAAATCTGTGTAAAATTTATGTCTGTAGCCGGGCGACCGAGCGGATAGCACGCTGGACTTGTGATCCTGTGGTCCCGGGTTCGATCCCGGGCGCCGGCGAGAAACAATGGGCAGAGTTTCTTTTACCCTATGCCCCTGTTACCTAGCAGTAAAATAGGTACCTGGGTGTTAGTCAGCTGTCACGGGCTGCTTCCTAGGGGTGGAAGCCTGGTCGAGGACCCGGCCGCGGAGACACTAAAGCCCCGAAATCATCTCAAGAAGGTAGGTTAGCTTAATATTTAAAAAGCACAACAATCACCTTTTGTGGTTGATTGCTCAATAAATCACAGAATTATATGTTTATTCTGTCCATGGAGGACAGAATTATATGTTTAATCTGTCCATGGAGGACAGAATTATATGTTTAAACTGTCCATGGAGGACAGAATTATATGTTTAAACTGTCCATGGAGGACAGAATTATATGTTTAAACTGTCCATGGAGGACAGAATTATATGTTTAAACTGTCCATGGAGGACAGAATTATATGTTTAAACTGTCCATGGAGGACAGAATTATATGTTTAAACTGTCCATGGAGGACAGAATTATATGTTTAAACTGTCCATGGAGGACAGAATTATATGTTTAAACTGTCCATGGAGGACAGAATTATATGTTTAAACTGTCCATGGAGGACAGAATTATATGTTTAAACTGTCCATGGAGGACAGAATTATATGTTTAAACTGTCCATGGAGGACAGAATTATATGTTTAAACTGTCCATGGAGGACAGAATTATATGTTTAAACTGTCCATGGAGGACAGAATTATATGTTTAAACTGTCCATGGAGGACAGAATTATATGTTTAAACTGTCCATGGAGGACAGAATTATATGTTTAAACTGTCCATGGAGGACAGAATTATATGTTTAAACTGTCCATGGAGGACAGAATTATATGTTTAAACTGTCCATGGAGGACAGAATTATATGTTTAAACTGTCCATGGAGGACAGAATTATATGTTTATTCTGTCCATGGAGGACAGAATTATATGTTTAAACTGTCCATGGAGGACAGAATTATATGTTTAAACTGTCAATGGAGGACAGAATTATATGTTTAAACTGTCCATGGAGGACAGAATTATATGTTTAAACTGTCCATGGTGGACAGAATAAACTGTATTAGCTGGTTAGCATTGTAAATGTGTGGCCACGTCTGTGGTAGAAAATAAAAAAAAAAAAATAATAACTCATTGTAACACAGGAACGGCGCTGGGCTCAACCACCTGACGAGTCTTGGAACTCAACGCCTGACGCTCACACCGACAAGCTGAGTGACCAGCTTGGCGTGCGTGGTCTGAGGGCCAGAGTTTAGTGACCCAGATCACGTCGGTATTGTAATATTAAGCTGAGCACCAGATCACCTTAACTTCTGCGACTGTACCAGTTAATGGAGGTTAGCTGTTCTGCATATGTTAAGCTGAGACTCTGCTAATCCGCTCTCTGAAGGGCGACCTCACGAGGGCGACCTCTGGAGGACGACCTCTGGAGGACGACCTCTGGAGGACGACCTCTGGAGGACGACCTCTGGAGGACGACCTCTGGAGGGCGACCTCTAGAGGACGACCTCTGGAGGACGATCTCTGGAGGGCGACCTCTGGAGGACGACCTCTGGTGGACGACCTCTGGAGGGCGACCTCTGAAGGGCGACCTCTGGAGGGCGACCTCTGGAGGACGACCTCTGGTGGACGACCTCTGGAGGGCGACCTCTGAAGGGCGACCTCTGGAGGGCGACCTCTGAAGGGCGACCTCACGAGGACGACCTCTGGAGGGCGACCTCTGAAGGGCGACCTCTGGAGGACGACCTCTGGCGGACGACCTCTGGAGGGCGACCTCTGAAGGGCGACCTCTGGAGGGCGACCTCTGAAGGGCGACCTCTGGAGGGGGACCTCTGGAGGGCGACCTCTGGAGGGCGACCTCTGGAGGGCGACCTCTGGAGGACGACCTCTGGTGGACGACCTCTGGAGGGCGACCTCTGAAGGGCGACCTCTGGAGGGCGACCTCTGGAGGACGACCTCTGGTGGACGACCTCTGGAGGGCGACCTCTGAAGGGCGACCTCTGGAGGGCGACCTCTGAAGGGCGACCTCACGAGGACGACCTCTGGAGGGCGACCTCTGAAGGGCGACCTCTGGAGGACGACCTCTGGTGGACGACCTCTGGAGGGCGACCTCTGAAGGGCGACCTCTGGAGGGCGACCTCATGAGGACGATCTCAGGAGTGCGACCTCTGGAGGCCGCTCCTGCTTGATCTTCAGCGCTACACTCCTCCTCTAACCAAGTGTCAAATTGTAAAATGTAAGATCAACAGTGTGGAGGTTCGAGGCTCACTGGGCTGTGTCTGAGGCCGCCGGGTCGCTGGTCGGGGCCACAACCCGACCCGACTCCTGGTGGTCGGGTCGGGTATTTGCCTGATGGAGCCTTTGTTGTTGCGGGCGGCGGTCGGGGACTGGCTGGGGGAGGAGGCTGGGTCGTTGATGCACGCACGGGCGCACGCAAGGGTGCACGCAAGGGCGCACGCAAGGGTGCACGCAAGGGCGCACGCAAGGGTGCACGCAAGGGTGCACGCAAGGGCGCACGCACGAGTCTGAAGGAGGCACAGCAGCTGCTACTGCGAGCAGGTGGACCCCTTTATGTGCACGGATACACTCAAGTGTATACTCGCTAACGTGTGCGCTACACACACACACACACACACACACACACACACACACACACACGCAGGAGTAAGCGGAAAGGCCCTAGTATGGGTGAAGAACTACCTAACAGGAAGGAGCCAGAGGGTAATGGTAAGGGGCGAGAAGTCGGACTGGCGAACAGTAACAAGTGGAGTACCTCAAGGATCGGTGCTGGGACCAATCCTCTTTCTAATTTACGTAAATGATATGTTTACAGGAGTGGAATCACACATGTCAATGTTTGCGGATGACGCAAAATTAATGAGAAGATTTGTGACAGACGAGGATTGTAGGATCCTCCAAGAGGACTTAAACAGGTTGCAGAGATGGTCAGGGAAATGGCTACTGGAGTTTAACACCAGTAAATGTAAAGTTATGGAAATGGGATCAGGTGATAGGAGACCAAAGGGACAGTACACAATGAAGAGGAACAGCCTACCTGTAACGATTCGAGAAAGAGACCTGGGAGTGGATGTGACACCTAATCTAACTCCTGAGGCACATATAAATAGGATAAAGACAGCAGCGTACTCTACACTGGCGAAAATTAGAACTTCATTCAGAAACCTAAATGAGGAGGCTTTTAGGGCGCTTTACACTGCCTACGTGAAACCCGTCTTAGAGTATGCCGCGCCAACATGGAGCCCCCACCTGAAGAAACACATAAAGAAACTGGAGAAGGTTCAGAGGTTTGCGACGAGGCTTGTCCCAGAGTTACGAGGGATGGGATATGAAGAGCGTCTGAAGGAACTGAACCTTACGACATTAGAGAAAAGAAGGGAGAGAGGAGATATGATAGGGACATATAAAATACTCAGGGGAATTGACAAAGTGGAAATAGATGAAATGTTCACACGTAATAATAACAGAACGAGGGGACATGGGTGGAAACTCAGATGAGTCACAGAGATGTTAGGAAGTTTTCTTTTAGCGTGAGAGTAGTGGAAAAATGGAATGCACTTGGGGAACAGGTTGTGGAAGCAAATACTATTCATACTTTTAAAACTAGGTATGATAGGGAAATGGGACAGGAGTCATTGCTGTAAACAACCGATAGCTGGAAAGGCGGGACCCAAGAGTCAATGCTCGATCCTGCAAGCACAAATAGGTGAGTACACACACACACACACATGATGTGACAAAGGTTATAGGATGTGACAAAGGCTATAGGCCCAGATGGAATCTCCCCTTGGATACTAAAGGAAGGAGCAGAAGCACTGTGCCTGCGTGCCTGCCACTCTCCATAGTGTATAACAAATCACTGGCAATAGGGGAACTGCCAGAAATTTGGAAGACGGCTAACGTAATCCTGATATTCAAAAAGGGTGACAGACAGGAGGCACTGAACTACAGGCCAGTGTACCTAACCTGCATACCATGCAAGCTGATGGAGAAGATTGTGCGAAGAAAGCTAGTGGAGCATCTGGAGCGAAGGAACTTTGTAACACAGCATCAACATGGGTTCAGGGATGGCAGGTCCTGCCTCACAGGGTTAATTGAATTCTACAACCAGGCAACAAAAATCAGGCAAGAAAGAGAAGGGTGGGCAGACTGCATATTTTTAGATTGCCAGAAAGCCTTTGGCAAAGTGCCACACCAATGACTAGTGAAAAAGCTGGAGATGCAGGCTGGAGTGAAAGGGAAGGTACTCCATTGGATAGAGGAGTACCTAAGCAACAGGAGACAACGAGTCTGTGTGAGGGGTGAGGTCTCGGATTGGCGAGACGTTATGAGTGGACTCCCCCAAGGGTCAGTCCTTGGACCTATACTGTTTCTGATATATGTAAATGATCTTTCAGATGGCATAGAATCATTCCTCTCATTGTTTGCTGATGATGCAAAAATTATGAGGAGGATTAAGACGGAGGAAGACAGTATGAGACTACAAGACGACCTAGACAAACTGAATGACTGGTCCAATAAATGGCTACTAAAGTTCAACCCGAGTAAATGTAAGGTAATTAAACTAGGCAGTGGAAACAGGAGGCCAGATACAGGATACAGAATAGGAGATAAAGTACTTAAGAAAACGGACAGAGAGAAAGATCTAGGAGTTGATATCACACCAAACCTGTCTCCTGAAGCCCACATAAAAAGAATAACGTCTGCGGCATATGCGAGGCTGGCTAACATCAGAACAGCGTTCAGGAACTTGTGTAAGGAATCATTCAGAACCTTGTATACCACATATGTAAGACCAATCCTGGAGTATGCGGCCCCAGCATGGAGCCCGTACCTTGTCAAGCACAAGACGAAGCTGGAAAAAGTTCAGAGGTATGCCACTAGGCTAGTCCCAGAACTAAGAGGCATGAGTTACGAGGAAGGACTGTGTGAAATGCACCTCACGACACAGGAAGACAGAAGAGTAAGAGGAGACATGATCAATACCTATAAAATTCTCAGAGGAATTGATAGGGTTGATAAAGATAAACTGTTTAACACGGGTGGTACGCGAACAAGGGGACACAGGTGGAGACTGAGTGCCCAAATGAGCCACAGAGACGTTAGAAGGAACTTTTTCAGTGTCAGAGTGGTTAACAGATGGAATGCATTAGGCAGTGATGTGGTGGAGGCTGACTCCATACACAGTTTCAAGTGTAGATATGATAGAGCCCAGTAGGCTCAGGAACCTGTACATCAGTTGATTGACAGTTGAGAGGCGGGACCAAAGAGCCAGAGCTCAACCCCCACAAGCACAAATAGGTGAGTACACACACACACAAATAATGAGAATTAGATTAATAAAACATATATATATATATATATATATATATATATATATATATATATATATATATATATATATATATATATATATATATATATAGGATTAAATATGCAAATAAAACAAAACCAGCTTTTGGGAAGGGATATCATGCCTGACGAAGCTGCCGGAGCTCTATGATAAAGTCAGACAAATATACGAGGACGAAGAAAGTTGGGCAGAGTGCGTATTTGTAGACTGTCAAAAGTATTTGACAGAACTGGTCTCACCTACGTGAGACCAGGGACATAACAAGCGCCTAAGAAAAGTGGAAAATGTTCAGAGGCCAGCAAAGGGGCTCCTTCCAGAATTACGAGGGTTGGAATATGAAGAGAGACTGAAAGAACTGAATACAACGTCGCCAGAGAAGAGGAGGGAGAGGGCAGAGATGACAGAGGTGTACACGCCCTTATCTTGAGGTTATCTTGAGATGATTTCGGGGCTTTAGTGTCCCCGCGGCCCGGTCCTCGACCAGGCCTCCACTCCCAGGAAGCAGCCCGTGACAGCTGACTAACACCCAGGTACCTATTTTACTGCTAGGTAACAGGAGCATAGGGTGACAGAAACTCTGCCCATTGTTTCTCGCCGGGGCCTGGGATCGAACCCAGGACCGCTGGATCACAAGTCCAGCGTGCTGTCCGCTCGCCGACCGGTTCCCGTGAGGACAGTCGAAGGATACCTGTCATTGGGACACAAGAACGTGTCCTGTCTCACAAGCTTGGAGGAGCGTACAAGCTGAAGGACAGCCACAATACCCCTCTCAGACAGTCTCACAGATATATACACAGAGGTGTGTTCAGCTTCTCGGTGTATATACAGCAAGAATTTACCTGAATTGCGATCAGAACGTGTGTATACTTGCTGGTTGGTCAGTAAGGTATTGTGGTGGCCTTAATAACCCTCCAGAGGTTGTTAGGCCTTAAGCCCACCACCAAATTTGCTGGTTGGTCAGTAAGGTATTGTGGTGGCTTTAACAACTTCCGTCCATACAGTTGATGGATCTCTGTTCCTTCACCAGTTGCCCCTCAAATGTTGCAAGAATGGATAAAGCATCAGAACCGTCTTCAAGACGCTGCCAGCTTCTCCCCGGGTCTTCAACACTACCACCATAACACTTAACAATTCGGTTCGGGCATTCCAGGAGTCCATTCACACCATTCAGACTTTTATTCACGCGTTGCAGAAGTCCTCCACCGTGTTGTAAGAGTTCAGCACCGTGTTGCAAGAGTTCAATCCCGTGTTGCAAGAGTTCAGCACCGTGTTGCAAGAGTTCAGCACCGTGTTGCAAGAGTTCAGCACCGTGTTGCAAGAGTTCAGCACCGTGTTGCAAGAGTTCAGCACCGTGTTGCAAGAGTTCAGCACCGTGTTGCAAGAGTCCAGCCCCGTGTTGCAAGAGTTCAATCCCGTGTTGCAAGAGTTCAGCACCGTGTTGCAAGAGTTCAGCACCGTGTTGCAAGAGTTCAGCACCGTGTTGCAAGAGTTCAGCACCGTGTTGCAAGAGTCCAGCCCCGTGTTGCAAGAGTTCAGCCCGTGTTGCAAGAGTTCAGCACCGTGTTGCAAGAGTTCAGCCCCGTGTTGCAAGAGTTCAGCACCGTGTTGCAAGAGTCCAGCCCCGTGTTGCAAGAGTCCAGCCCCGTGTTGCAAGAGTTCAGCCCCGTGTTGCAAGAGTTCAGCCCCGTGTTGCAAGAGTTCAGCACCGTGTTGCAAGAGTTCAGCACCGTGTTGCAAGAGTCCAGCCCCGTGTTGCAAGAGTTCAGCCCCGT